TGAAGAGGATTTGGACATGAATGATGACGACGTCACAATAAAGCCACCAAAACAGCAACGACATAGACTTGTGTGAAAAAATAAAAAGACGTGACCAGACCAGAGCAAGGCTAGCGGCTCTGTGCTGAGTATGGCTACGTATGCATTTAATGAAGCCTCTCATAAACTTCCGAGGTGGATGCAACCCTTTTCTCAAGTGTGTAGAGATTTATTTGATTTGCTTCGAGATTCCAACCAGCAAGCATTGCTTATTTTAATATTGAATAAGAAAAATGTGGAATACCATAAACAACTACGCTTTAGACTATTTTTCTGTTGGGGTGGCGTTCATGCAAGACAACCCACAAACATAGGTTCCATACTTTTCCTTCCGTGCCCTCCCCCTCCCCAATGGGCAACGTATCCAAGCCTCTACATCATTACTACGAGGTCAGTTTCTCATTATGGGTGGGTCTGCGTCGCCTTTGCTTGTTGGCTAAGTAGACACAGCCTCAAATGCTGATCTGGCGCCTGCTTCGGCATTGTAAATAGACAAGCATTCCAGGCTAAAGGCGGACCCATTCAACACCGCCTTTATCAGTTATCATGAGTCAGCACATTGAGTAGTGGTCCGTTGTAATCGAGAAGTATTTAGCCATTACAGTTAAGTGGTTTAGAGTGGAGGTTAATTGACACCACGTGGACCTGAATGATCCGACTAGCTAACTTAAAAGTGGGTTCCCCTTGGATAATTTGCTGATCGACTTCATAGCTCAATTGCAAAAGTGCAAAATTCGCCTCTCCTCCCTTACGACATCAATAGAGAAGAGAAATGCTATTAATTATGCCTCACCTCAAGCGATGCTACTGCTAATTGTTTGGATCCACATGATAAAGCCAATACTCTCTACTTTGGGCTTTCCGTTAAGCATTCACGGTCTCGGTGGGTAAACTCCTCAATTAACAGCATTTCTTATTGGATGTGTGCTGTTGACCTAGGCAACTGCAACAGTACGCCAATCCCAGCGTTACACAAAGCAGCAGAGTAAATGAATGGAAAGCTCTTAAGACTTTTTGTAATGCCATGTTTGTTTGGTTATTAATACCGGTGGAGAGCACTGAGTCCGGATGAACTGACCTGCGGGCCATTCCAAAGGCTTCATCTATTTCCCTCCTGCCTGAAGGGACACATTTAAGCATTTTATTCCTTTTAGTGCATACTGACAAATTTAGGTAGAATGCTTTGTTTATGTGACTACATGGCGTTTGGCGGTCACTGTAGAATTTGTCTTGCTCTTGTACAAGTGGGCTGACCTTCGGGCCATGCCCAGGTGCGTTTGTCGTGCCGTCATCTAGGAAGTCTTGGGAGGCTACAGTGGTGGCAGCGAAAAGCGAACGCGATATTTGCTCGACGACATTTAGGTATAGAGTGCTTTTGAAGACCTTCTGCTCTAGCCGAGTTGGGGTCTCTCTGCTGCTTGCTCTTCGTTTGTCGTTTGTTGAAAGTGGCATAGTATCCAGGAGAATCTATTGCCCAACAGACGTCGCTGTCTTACTGACATCCTACGTTTGTGTTGCTAAACTACGCCAATTAATCGACTCATTTCCGGAAAAGAACAGTATGAACAATGGTTCGATCGGATGATGCAATGGTTCAGTACCTACAAAACCCACAGTATCTGGAGATGTATGTCGCTATTTTTTCGGTGTTGATGCTGTGGGATTGAATATCATTGAGTCTGATGATCTGTTGGACACCAACGTCGGGTTCCCTTGGCCGGAAATTCGAAACCTCTCTTTTCACGGTAAGAAGTTTACAATCCAGCCAACAGACATGACTACAAAGGTTGGCTAATTTTTAGAGGAGAAACTCAACATTAATAAGCGCAACAGATGAAGGTAAGGGCGAAAAGGGGACGTGATGTGAAGGAGGCGCGTTTACCTTGGTGGCGCGACATCCATGACTGACGTCTGCATTTGGCCTAATCCTTTGCTCGTGCCCACAGACAAGCTATTAACAACTAAAGTGACACCGTCGTGAATCATCTGGAAAAGTTTCGTGTGGGAATTTGCAATACAAAATCCGTGTTTAGGTGTTGGAAATGGCACTACGGTTCTCCTTACATAAGGGAAAGTGGCTCATTCTCTTTTCCCCGTAACATATATGCTCTTGGTCGGAATTTCACCGACTTTTCCTGTAAGCAATTGATGGTCAACAGGTGTATGCGGCCTCGAATCTGGTTGTGACACCGAATGTAACTCCAGACCCAGTTGAAGCTGTCAAGCAGACCAAATAGCGTTCCTCAGTCTCATCTCCGCTGCAGGTTGGCACAGTTAATTTGTGAGTGCTTTCTTGTAGTACCGAATATGTTGTGATGGCTGGTGCGGGAGGTGTACTAATGGGGAGCGCCAAAGACGTGGCTCAAAAGAAGAGAAGGCTAGTGTTATGCTTTGTTTATATGACTACGTGGCTTTCCGCGGTCACTTTAGGGTTTGTCTGGCCCCTGTACACGTGGACTGGCCTTCGGGCCTTGCCCAGACCCGCTTATCCTGCTGTCTTCTGAATGCATGTATCCAGCTGCACTTACTGACTTATACCGGTCACGAAGTCTCGCAACGCCATATTCGACTGCTATAATTGCAGAAGCAAAGGCCATCCCGACTATGGAATGAATT